ACAAGCCAGTTGGAAAGCATAATAACCAAAAATACACATCATGCTATCTTTACAAAATAATGTTTAATGATGACAGTTTAAGTTTGCAATTACATGACATTCTTGAGCAAAATACCACTTCTACTTATGGCAAAAGATTTAAAACTGCAAAAACAACTGAAGCATTTATTCATTTATATGCCATTTCAAGATGAAAAACCCTGCCAAGGGCAACACTGTAGTAGTATATAGCACATCTTTCTTTCTCTTTCTTTCTTTAAAAGAGCAGTAAAGGTAAAAAGAAGTTTAAAAAAAAAGAAAAAGAAAAAGAAACCATCACAAAAACCCAAGGCAGTATCTACATCTACTGGCAATATTTAATGATCAATGAATCTGCTACTGCAATAAATTTGCTTAAAACAAAGCTCTTCCTTTAATGGTTTTTACACAGCAGGTTCCTGATATGAAGAGGGGATGACTGATGCTGGCTTGCAATATGGCTCTGTAGTAAACTATGCCAGTATTATTATCAAATCATCTCTTACAAAACTCCCTTTTTGCCCACCATGCAATCAATTTAACAAAGATCTAAACAATTTAGAGTTCAAACATTCAAATAAATCCCATTCTCCTCCTTCCCATCTATGCTTATTAGAAGAATAGAAACTCACAAGTCTCTGAACAGTCCCAGAAATCATTTTATCTGTTTACTTTTATTGACAAGATTGCCTGTTGAATTCAAGCGAGCCAAGGAAAAGGAGCAATGGCTTCACACTTCCACAAGAAGAAAAAAATGTCAGAAAGTAAGATGAGTACCAATTCCAAGGCACAACACTAAGAGTTACACCTGACTGCAGAAGCTCGCTCGCATTATGTCTAGAAGAGCAAAAATAGAACATTACCGGTACTGAATTCCGTACGTTTTCTCCTCATAATAGAATACCCAGTACATCACACTACATGATTTTACATAAAAGGGAACTGGTGGCAAGAATAAGTCCATCAGCCATTCAGAACAAACACTACTTTCAGCTTGATAATCTTCAAAGTAAGTAGACTGATATAAATCTACATGGGAAATAAGGAAAATTACTGAGAAGCCCCCTTTTGCCAGTCTAGCTTGTCTCTCCTTCATCTTGAAGTAAAACCAGTTCAATCAGACACAAAGGTGGCAACCATGGAGACAGCTTATTTAGCTTAAACCAGAACATGAAACTTCTTCACCTCACAGCTGCACCACTCCTACAAAAACAAGTTCGGCTTCCAGTCCATCGGGTATAGAGTAACCTGCACACTCTTTGTGGCAGAGACCACCGTTTTGTTACATACTTGGCGAACAACCAGAACAACAATATTCTGATCCTCAGCTGGGGCTACCATGAGCTACTTCAATATTACTAGAATGATCTTCTCTTCATGATTCAACCATGCTCTTGAGGAGAGAACAGTCTAAAGTTCTCTCGTAATTCTGGCTAGCCAGCGAGAGGCAAAAACATCTGCTGAAGCCAGCTTCTCTTCGTGAGGCTGACATCAATTGTCTTTGTACATTCCTCAAAGTTGTAACCATTCAAAACTAGGACTCTGCTTTTTGCACTCAGTGTTGGTGCAACAAAATCAATATAAAGAGACAAGAAAACGGTTAATGAAAAACACAGAAAACATGGAGGAAAATCATCTGCAAGCTGGAAAGAAAGCAAAAGTAAGGATTACAGACAGAAAGGATAGCAGATTGTATGACTGAGACTACCTCAGTTTTCTAATTGACAAGATTATATAAACAGGATGTACTGATATTTTTAAGAGAAGAAATGAGAAAGATACACCAACTGGTGCAAACAGGTATTATAGGATTTTGGAGTTTGTTTTAAAGTTCTATTTAGAATATGTAAAGCCAACATTAAATCACAGCAACACAGAATCACATAGTTCGAAGAGACCTTCAGAAAGAGGTCATGTAGTCAAATCTCTAGTTCAAAGCAAATCTAATGACAATATGGCGTTTGGGGACTCTGTCTAGCTGATTTTTGAGCATCTCCAAGGATAAAGATACCAGTCTCCCTGGACTCCTTCCTGTGTTTGAAAACTCTAGTGGTAATTTTGGGTTTGGTGTTGGGTTTTGGTTTTTTGTTTGCATTTTTGTTGTTTGTTTTGGGGGGAGTTTGTTTGGTTTTGTTTGTTTATTGGTCTTTTGGTTGGTTGGTTTGATTTTGTTTTTTACCAAGTTGCAACTTCCCTTGTCCCAGTCTGTCCCTTCTGCCTCTGATCTTTCCACTGTACATCTCTGTGATGAGTTTGGCTCTGTTCTCTCCCACATCCTCCCATTCGGTAGCTGTAAACAGCAGTTATATCTCCCTTGAGCTTTCTCTTTGTAAGGCTGCCCAATAGGTCAAATTCAGTGAACTCCGCCCCAAATTCAGTGAACTCTTAAAACTACACAAATACCTACTCCTATTTCTCTTGTTCAAATTTTAATCAAGTAAACTCTCATTTTTAAATTCTTTTCAAAAGATAATCAGACTAATATAAGCAGACAGGTATGCTTACATAAGCACAGTTAATTTTTTTTGTCTCAGCAGCAGAATTTGATGTACACTTGCAACTTTTTTGTTATCCTAATATTAATTTTTGTATTGTACACTGGATACCACTTGATGGCTACTCTACAATGCATCATCAGCAGAGAAAGAACACTGTTGCTGAAGTATCAAAAGCACACGCTTCAACTTCCTGTGTTAGGAATTTATTTTCTAGATTAGCAGTTCCCAAAGAATGAGAAAGAACACAGAGGTGAGGTTTTACAGAGAAATGTTAGAGAGGAGGTCTTCACCTGATGACTGTTCCTGAGACAGAGGAAAGAGGAACCATGGAACCAATCTGGAGATGGGAAAAAGAAGCAAGCCCCAAAGTGTTCAGGGCTCATATTAACTAGTCCCATCTACACACAAAAACTCCAGGAAAAGCCTGTGTCATTCAGAACAGGGTGTCACAGTTCAAAATCTAAGAGGCCGACCACTACTGAAGAACAGGGTAACCAAACAGCCGTTCACAAGCCACGAAGAATTTCAGGTGCAATTCTCACACCAAGGATTACCAGCCACACGGCTGTGTTGGTGAGAACCTAATGTATCATCTGAATTTGCAGAGTCAGGCAAAAATGCCTACTGACTTTGAGAAGCCTTTATCACCCTTGGAGCCTGGATTTAGACACACCTCACTCTACCCTCAAATCCTCAAAGAAGAAATTTAGCTACATGGAGGCTAGTATCTTCTACATGTCAATGTGTCCCTGCCTTTCTCTTCATCCCAGCTGTCTGAAGTCTATAAAATAAAGAAAGCTTTACTCTCATTTTGCCTTTATCCTCTTCTATGATACCCCTTCACTTCATTGCACAAACCTTCATTTTACTGGCTACGATATCAAATGATGTAATTGGAACATGTACCAACAGATAAATCAGTAACTTGTTATTTCCCAAGTCCTGCACAGTTGGTATGTTTTGTGTATTCTTTTAAACTAAAATATTCAATCCATTCAATTGATATTTAAAATATTATGAGGTGTCCAAGGCAGCAAAAAAAACCATTTCAATTTCACAGACTGTGATATGTAGACATTGGAGCAGCTGTGTTTCCCTATCTCATAGGCTGTATTACTAGGACTTTATCTGCTAAGATTTTACCAAGATGGTTATGAATAGTATTTTCAAGTCAGAGAAATCAAGCATTTAATGCCAAAGTAAAAAGGGAGAAAATTAAATTTAAAGACACAACTGCAATCTTTAAAGTGGCAGTTACATATAATCCAAAAGATGGAAAGTGGTGACATTTACAAGAACATCATAGATACAATTAAGAATTCTATTTCATAAACCATCCAGCATTTTAATGAAAAAAGTTAATTCTCAATGGAATTTTAAAATGTAGATGAAGAAAAATTAACACGTAATTACACAGTGAAATTATCATAGCTTTATTTTAAAATCAAAGGAGGGGAGCCTCCTGCATCATTGCTACTTACAGCATCTTTTGTTAGTTTATTTTACACACTATTTTTATGTCAAGCTAAGATTTCTACATTGCACCAGCATTATCCCAGAATGTTAATCAACCATGCCTGACAGAATTCCCCAGTGATTTGCAGCAAGTGCTGTTGCTTCCACTAATACTCAGTCTTCAGCAACTCACTTTTGTTAGATTTCCCAAGATGGCAAGTATGCTTTAGTTTCATCCTTCCATTTCCAGATCACCTCTCTGTGATTAACAGAGCTGAGACTGCAGATAGAACTGAGCCTACATGTTCAGCTGCATCAGCTATGCACATCCATTTTGTTCAGTATCTAAAATCCGGGTGTTTCTCAAGCCCTGGGAAGCAGACCCATACACTATCACTCTGATCTTAGTTAAAAATAGAATCGCTTAATTTTAATGGCTAACATATAAAGCACACTTCGAGAACAGCAATGCATATTGAATTATGCAGTTTCACTAACTGTATGTGCAAACTGACAAAATTTAAATTAATAGCTGTAATATCAATTAAAAATATCTCTTAAGAAGTTCCCTTGACAAAGCAGTTCCAAAATGCCTTGAACTCACCTATCTTCAAACGAAAGAGCACAAAACCCAAAACAGTAGTAACCATGTTAGATGCAGAAGCTCTCAACAATGTCTTGTGAGAGGAAAAAACAAAACAAAACAAAAGCAAGGAAAACCTCCACTAACATCAGATCCAGAAACTGTTACTTCTTTTTAAAAGCAGAATTAATAGTTGCTGGGGTATGTACACTGGCTTTATTCAAAAAAGCTCATATAAAATAAAGCCTGAAAGCATGTGCAAAAGTATTTGTGCGTATGTCCCCAAAGGCTTTTAAGAAGGATGTTGTCTGATTCCATGTTTATTTAATTTTGTTTTTAACATTGTTCTCTCAAAAAGGAGTCGAGTGAGTTTTGTTCATTTCACATAAATCATTTCTACGCTTCTAGCTCCAGGGTAAGTGTCAGTAGTGAACGACAGTGCTTACCTGCTGAGCCTGGTACCTCTGCTGGGCCTGCGACAGATATTGTGCCTGGGGTGGCAGATGCTGAGGCTGCGGCTGCTGGTTGTAGTAGGGCTGTTGGCCCTGCTGGCAGTAGCCACTTACACCTTGCTGACCATACTGAGGCGGTATCTGTTGGAAGAGCCAAGCAAAGCAAACGCATGAGTTGAGGCAGGAGGGCATGAAATCAAGCTATGTCACACCTGTACAGCAACCTGATCAGAAGTGATATCCTCAGCTATACAACTGACCAACAATCCTACTCTTTCACTCAGCAGTTAATGCAAGCCCTTAGATCCTCTTGCCTGAGCAGGAGTAAGCTCAAGTGCTCTGTACAGTTACTCTTTTCAAGAAGAGCTTCTAAGGAAAATGCTATGCTTCTGAACATCACAATCCCATAATGCCAGGCAGCACTTATTTTAAATGTTTGCTCTCCATGGGCACACTACTGAGGCAAATCAACAGAAGAATAATTTTGATGTGCTGACCCAAAAGTCTTTTTATATACATATACATACATACATATATATAAGTAACAAAGTAATAATTTTTGTGAAATTTTCTGCCCATAACCTTTAGCATTTGTGTGTTTAAGCCCTACACAAAAAAAATGGGGTTTGGCAAGTTCTTTGTTTTGTCCAGTTCAACCTAAGTCTCCTCCCCCCACCAAGATACACCCTTGTTTTAAAAAATAAGAACAAAACACAAACGCAACACAGAATAACCTCTTACAAGTGCTATTAATAGACAAATCAGCATATGTGTGAGAACCCACATACACACAGAGAATTTAAGCTACAACCAAAAGCAAGTCAATTAAAATTTTAGAGGAATTTTCTGCATCAGTTTATAAGCCTTGTATCAACAGACACTGACATTTTCTTGAGTTATTTGAAAGAACACTTTCAACAAGCTCCTGATATTGTGTCTGTATTGTCCCAATTCTAGGTACCTGTGCTCTTCCCTAAACACAGGTATTTAGTACCATTTCTGATGAACCACAGATGCAACACAGAATTTCTCCCTTCTAGAATGGGCCTCCTGTTGGTCCTGCACACCCCTGCAAATGTCTCAGATACCTGAGCACATCTGAAATGCTTTGATCTCTGAACTGTTTCCTCTGAGTTTCTGATACACCGATAAATTTGTTTACTCAACATGTAAACACATACCTGTTCTACCTAAAGTTAAATTACTACATTCATTCAACAATACGGTAGTATTTGCTAGGTGATGATAATAACAATAATAATAATACTACAAAGTCAAATTTAAACAGCTATCTAGGCTGGTTTTACTATTACAGCTTGAACTGTTCCTATTACCTCTGCCGGAAGTTGATAAGTCCTACTTCTTGCTAACTTCTAAGGTCAGCAACTAAGGTAACTCCACTTCTGCACTTGTTCTCTTCACCTGCGCTTTTATTTCCTTCACTATCATTTCACAGGCAGTTAGATGTTTCTGTGACCAAAGCAACCCCTTCTGACAAATACCCTCTCCCTGCTGATGCATAAATGAGGTTGTTATAACGCAAACTAAAATGGGTGCACTGAATAACATCAGGCAAACAGACAATACATTGCCTTCTACACAAAGAGACGGGGGGGGGGGGGGGGAAAAAAATAGTAAGAGAAAAACTGGAACATCAAGCCTCAAACAGAAGCACTAGCAGTAGTCATATCAGAAATCTGGTAGAAGGGAAACAGTTTGTGGGTCACCATTTTGCATGATCTGAGGCTACAAATACACATGGGGAAGACAGCTACTAATTAAGTAACATTATATGCTATATAGAGTTTAGAAACAAATCAAACCAGAACTCCCCTAAAGCAAGCAGCAGAGGCCTGGAGCTAGTTGGATCAGAAGAGTGAGCGCTGGGACCACCAGGCATGGCCAGACTATTGGCAAGGCTGACAGCAGCGCACCAAGGTCAGCAAAGGCACGGTGCAAAACTGTATCGAGGGAGATTTCAGCTCCTCCCATGTAGGCTGAGCAAGTGGGCTACAAAGCAGAGACCAAAGGATCAGGTAACTGCCAAAGGTTGTTCCATGGAGTTGCTGATTAGGGAATCTGCTTGAGGAGCCACTGCCTTTGGCTCAGTCCTGAGCAG